GCTTTAATGTGTCACAAGAGTTCTTGGTACCATGCCCTACCTTTCGTTCTTCTCGGAATCAGGGCGGCACTAAAAAATGACATCAAAACGTCAGCTGCAGAAGTTTTGTATGGGGAACCGCTACGCCTACCAGGCGAGTTCCTGGTGGCTAGCAATTCCCCTCAAACCGTGGACGATGATTTTGTTGCACAGTTGCGAAAACGGATGGCAGAACTTCGCCCCGTTCCAGCATCACGTCACACGAATTCTAAAACTTTCGTTTTCAAGGACTTACCTGATGCTACTCAAGTGTTCCTCCGCGAAGATTCCGTTCGACGCCCTCTACAGCCACCTTATACAGGCCCCTACAGAGTGTTGAAGAGATCTGAAAAGACACTTACCTTAGACATTTCTGGCCGAAGATCTGAGGTTAGCATCGACAGAACAAAACCTGCGTATATTACACCTGACCCAGACGGCAATCCGTCCCCTAACAACTTGGCACCGGAGCTCCCAGTCCTTCCGACTCTTTCACCTCCTATTAGCCAAACGGCCCATTAAAACGCCCGCACAGCCTGTAACAACCCGGTCAGGTCGCAAAGTTAAATTTAAAGATATTTTAGATTTATAAGTACTAGTTTTTAATACGTTATTTTTGTTAAAGCAGAGTTTTTTCAATTTTAAGTTTCCAATGTTTATTTTTTCGTTGTATAAATTAAAATTCCATTAGTTAAAAATTATCCTAAATAATTGCTTGTACTTTTATAATAACAGTGTATAATTATTTGATTGTTACATTTTATACTTGTTTTGCCTTCAATGTGTACTTATTTTTCTCCGTAGGGGGGTGATGTGGCGACTCATTTGCTACTGTGTAGCACCGCTCTTATCTTTTACACCCTTACTCTCATCGGTCTAGCATTACCCTAGTATTGACAAATTTCTATAGCAACGAGTGACAATAAAAGATGATGGTTTTCTCAACACGGCTTGTTCTTTGTACTGCATCTTAATTGTTCCCTCCTGCCGGCTCCCAAACGTGTCTAGCTATCTGACATAACTCCTGTATTTTATATAAATTTCATAATCATTACTTTTGGTCTAAAATAAGTTCATGTAAATAGTTTTCTTATCAGTACTTAAGTGTCTTTTCGGTTTGAAAATGATCCATCAGCCACATCTACCATTCAAGACGAACAACTTGTAAATCAAGCCATTGTGCCAGATTTGTCGAATGCCTTTGCGACATCGAAGAAAACTGCTCCCGTGCTAATGTGTTTCGGGTGATTTAGGCCTTTCAGGATATGTTCTGTTAGGTGGAATAGCTGATCGGGACAGGAATGACTAGCTCGAAAGGCGAATTTTTCAACCGGCACAAGGCTGTTAGAATGTACGTGCTCTTTGAGCCTGCTTAGTAACAGCCGCTCGTAGAGCTTCCCCAGGCAACTAAGGAGGCTGATGGGACGATAACTTGAGGGCTTGTTAGTGGGTTTATTCGGTTTGCGAATGCCGATAACCGTGGCTTCTTTCCAGTCATCCGGAAAGGAGCAACTGGAGAGAAGTGTATTGTAAATGGTCGCCAGTACACAGATAAGCTGCCCAGGGAGAGTTTTAAGGATTTTATTACTAATACTGTCTGGACCCGGGGCGGATTTGGGTTTTAAATTTTTGATAATATCTTGGACCTCTTCGGGGGTCACTGAAATTAATGGATTGCTTTCCGATGGAAACGCAGCCCTAGTTTCGATTACGCGGTCCACCTCCGTTAGGTGGGCTTTATAGGTGTGTTCGCGCGATGGCGTACATTGCTGCTCTAGGTAATATTTGATTTTTTATTTGTATGCTTTGATCAGAGTCAAAAGTTTTTTTTTTTAAATAGCGAGCTGTATTAATATTATATATTTACGGTGGTAGGGCCACGCAGCAGCCTCGGCTGTTGCACGAATGGGCAGGCCCGTCCGGGTAAGTACCACAACCTCACAGAAGACCAGCGTAAAGTGGAAGTATGAGAAATACTTTCGCGTTTCGTCTGGTGAGTGAGGTAGCCGGAGCCCAATTTTCAAAAGGTTGTCAACGCATCTGTAACCCTCGGGAGTGGCAGATGTCCATGGGTGGCGGTATTCACTTATCATCAGGTGAACCGTCTGCTCGTTTGACAACTTTTCGCATAAAAAAAAAAATAGCCATTTACCTGCATTCAACCTGCAGTGTAAAATTATAATAGACTAGCGACCCGCCCCGACTTCGCATGGGTGCAATGTATTATACATATAAACCTTCCTCTTTAATCACTCTATCTGGTAAAAAACACCGCATCAAGATCCATTGCGTAGTTTTAAAGATCTAAGCATACATAGGGACAAACCGACAGCAGGACGACTTTGTTTTATATTATATAGTGATAGTGAAGTTGTTAACATCGCTCTAAGCATTTTATTTTCAACTCCTGATTGTACTCCCGAACAGATACTAATTTTTAAATTTCTCTTCTATTCCTTCATAGTACCTAATTAAGATGAAATTTAAAATTTAGTAACTGTGGTAGGGCGACATAGCAGTATTCGCTGTTGCACGATTGGGTAGGCCCGTTCGGCGAAGTACTACGACCTCACAGAAGACCAGCGTGAAGTAGAAGTGTTATCAGCGTGTCGTTACAACCGCGACAATAAATGAACACACATATAGAGGATAACTTTTAAAATTTTATTAAACATTTACATTCTTTAAACATCAATATTTACCGAGTTATTAAATTTTCCAAAACAAACAATTTTAAAACACCCTTACGTATAAAACTGTAAAGTAAAGTTCATTTGTAAAGGCCACAAAGCATATGAATGGGTTGAATGAATTTAAAAGAGATAAACAAACTGTTAGAAGGAGAGATTTGTAATGCGACGCAGTGGCAACGAATAAAAAAGTCTCTGTAAGCGAGGTAACCGAGAGCCAAAGCTTTTATTAAAGGGGTAACAAATGTCCATGGGCAGCGGTTATCACTTACGTCAGGGAACCACCAGCTCGTTTGCCACCTTCTTACACAAAAAAAGCTTGTGTTCTCCGGTTGACCAATTTTTTCAAATGAAATTACAATGAAATATTTGAAAACTAGAGATGTGTGTGACCTTTGCTAATTAAATTTTTAATTAAAATATTTATTTATAGTGATATACTATAACAAAATATTTTAATTAAAAAGTGAACTTGAGATTAGAAAAATTGAGAAAAATGAACGAAAAGGTTTTTCACCGCAGTGAGAATTAGAGCCTGCGTTCTCCGGGATATGCGCAGCTTTAAACATTCTCATTTATCTTAATATACAGTGTGTTGTTACAACCGCGGCAATAAATGAACACACATATAGAGGATAACTTTTAAAAATTGTATTAAACATTTACATTCTTTAAACATAAATATTTACATTCTATATTAAATTTTCCAAAACAAACAATTTTCGAACCTTACGTAAAAACTGTACTTGTTCATTTGTAAACGTCACAAAGCACATGAATGGGTTGAATGAATTTAAAAGAGATAAAACATACTGTTAGAAGGAGAGATTTGTCTTATAAAAATATCTTTTTTTTAATTATGATTTTTTTTAACGTTTATATTTTTTTATGATTATTGGCAAGTAGCGTTAGACGTCTGTTCATTTATTGTCGCGGTCGTAACGACACGCTGTATATCTTAATAATCTCTAGTCGTCTAAGATATTAAATACCTATTTACTTGAACATGGTTACTGATGTGACATAACGTGAGGAAAAAATCGATTATTTTAAAATCAATTAATTTTTCTATTTTGAAAATTGTCTGTATAGCAATAAAACTAAGACCAAACCACTCTTAGGTGTTTTACGCTTGGAAGACATTTTCAATGTTGAACAATAAATTACAGTGTTTAAAATACTGGACAAAAGTAACAAACTAACGAAACAGGTTTACTTATTTACATACAGATGAAGGTGTTTACAAAAATCGACTAAAAATATATAATTGTTATAATCGATTTATTTAAAATCGATTATTAATATTAAAAAAAACGTTTCTTAAAATATCTTAAAAGAAAAAAATAATCGATTAATATGAAAATCGATAATTTTTTCGCATCCCTAGACGTGGTAAGGGCATACCATCTTTAGGCTATAAAATCTTTATTAAAAAAAAGCATACCATCCTACAAAAGAAACCATCGTCGTTTGCAATTTTAATGCAAAATAAACGTGTATACATTATGTTGAAAAATTCGCATATGACTTTGTCATCTTATCCTTTAAATGAGCAATTATTGTATTTATATTCGATTATATATATGTAATCGGAATCTCGGAAACGGCTCCAGGGATTTTCATGAAATTGAGTAGGTATGTGCGTAGATTCGGGGGCGAAAAATCGATCTACCTAGGTTTCATGTTTAGAAAATGTCCTTTTGTCCCTGTTTTCAGGGAATGAAAAATATCAGTCGAACATGACAGTAAATTTCGCCGCAAAAAATTTTTATAATAGCTCGGTCGGTAATCGGGCGGCCCCAAAACAGACCGACAGACTTTTTTTTTTACTTTTTTTCTATACCAGATCATTTTCTTTATTTTTTTATTTCAAAAATACATGAATTACCAAAAAAAAAACCGAGCAAAGCTCCGTCCTCCAGGTACTAATAATTATTCATGTATAGAGTAAAAAGTCAGACAGTTTGCGACTTTTGTCTTCAAGTAACATCAGTTGTCAGCAGTGTCATTTTCTTTTTAGCCTGTATTAAAAATAACATATGTCACATGTCACATTATATTAATCTTATGTCCCACTACCATTTCACTTGATATTATATTTTAAAAACCTTATTATTTCGCTCCTTCTTGTAACAAATTGCACAAATGACAACTAAAGTAATTAAATATGTAGGAAGAACAACAGATTTTAAAGGAAAAACGTTATGGGAAATCGTTGGAAGTCTTAAAAATTATGGAGTTGGTAGAATAATAGTCCGATCTACGTTTGAACGATACCCAGAACCGAGTTTTATGAAAATAGTAAAAGTGGAAACTTGCCCCGATGAGGTTAGTATTGTTGAAAAGATTTTTTTTTTTTGTCAAAACATTGTCAATACTTTTCAATAGTAGTGAATTCTTGTATTTATTCTGATGGTAATTCAATCGTCATATGTTGATCGCTGTCTAAGGGGTTTAAAAATAAACATTGGTGTACAATAAGATTCTTTAATATCCAATAAAAATAGGGTAAAATTCTAGAAAAGCGAAACATCGAATTTTCACTGACAAATATTTTTAAATGACTTGAATGAATTTAGGAAACTAACTATGATTAGAATTACCAAGTATAAATGTAAAAATGTAAATTACCATTTTTACTTGGTAAAAGTAAATTACCAAGTAAATTACCATATACACCAACCTTTCACAGAAAATAAATATACATAAGACATAAAGATACTTAAAACATTTTATTTTTAAATTCAGGTGAATAAGGTTCCCCCCATTTATTTATTTCAAACCGAAGGGTGGTGAAATGGCATGACGTCCCGCTGACGGTAATGCAAGATTTATTTTCTTTTTTATTTTGTGATTTGTTTCAGTTATGTTGCTCTATTGATTGAAATATTTTTATACAAAAAACAAGCATGCTGCTTGTAGTAGTGGGATGTCATATAGTTTTCCAAGGGCCAGTTTTAATTATTTTTTTGGTAAATGTAAATAACTTTAACTCTGGCGTAATTCAAATCAAATAAATTTTAAACGATAGAGAAAACTCACTTATGAATTTATCAACAAGCAGAATTTGGCGGTCGCTTATAGTTTTCGAAAAAATAAATAATGAAATAGTGTGATTTTTACTATAGAAATCCGCCATTTTTTATTGTCAATTCAGCTCGTATTTCTTGGTGGTCATAAAAAAAAAACCTAACATCGAAGGTTCTAACCTAATCTATCCGAGTCGGATTCGCTCTGTGTCGGTTCTGTGACTCATTAAATTTAAAAAATCGGAATATCGATACGTGTATGATGGCGCCCGCTTCCTATATTTATCATGTTGGCAGAACTGTGTAAAGAACTTTTGAAGTCAAACGAATAAAATGGTGGATTTCTTAGTACAAAAAACAAGTTTTAAATATTTTTTTTCTCGAAAACTATAAGCGACCGCCGAATTCTGCTTGTTGATTAATTCATTAGAGATTTATCTCTATCGTTTAAAATTTATTTGATTTGAATTACGCCGGAGTTAAAGTTATTTACCTTTACCATTTTTTTCTGTGAAAAGTACGCATAACTTTTTGCTTGGTAATTCTAGTTTCGGTTATGTTTCCTTACGGCTTACAAATATTTGGCAGTGAAAACATGATTTGTTTCTATTCTAGACCACTCTACCACATATTTTTTTAAATTAATGCTTTTTTAAATTTTCCTGTAATAACTTTGGGTATCAGTTTCCATTACCACAGTTTGATTTTCGAGCTAAACAAAAACTTTTTCGATAGAGAAAAATTACTAATGAAATAATCAACACGCAGACTTATCTGCTCACTCACAGTTTCCGTGAAAAAAAATATTTAAAACTTGTTATTTTCACTACGAAAGTCTGCCATTTTACTAAGTGGATTTCAAAAACTCAATATACAGTACTGCCAATATTATAAATATAGGAAGCGGGCAATGTCATACTCGTATAGATTATAAAACAATTTATTAATAGACATTTAAAAAAAATTGTATGTACAGCCAACATGATCCAACTGATGAGCCAACATGGAAGAGTCAAATTTGACTCTTCCATGGCCAGAAATATGATTTTTTTTTACATTAAACAAAAAATTAAAATTTATGAAAGGTGAATATTTCGTATGTAAAAAGAAAAAAACTTCGTAATTTTAATAAACAAATTAAAGAAAAATTCACTATTAATCTTAATCAGATAAAGCTTCTTGATATAAAAAAATGTGCAATTACGAAACAATTTGTGTTAAATAGACATGAAATTAATTTATACTACTGATTAAAAAGATTTTATAAAATTTGTAATCGAGTTCCGAAATCGATATTAGCATATTCGCCGTATTGATATTTGAGTACCTAATCATATATTAAATTTAAAAAGATAAGTATTTCCCGCTCTTTTCAATTTCCTATTTAATAGTCGTATTTGTAATGGTCGATAATATGTGCGCGTCTACTAGCACTAGTGAATTGTGTACGTATTGTAATTTATATTTTATTTCTTTTTATAAAAATTTTTAATTTACAATCAGATCGTTCAGTACTTTAAATTTTTTTTGTGTCGTTGTGGTGTTCTGTAAAAATTTTTGTTTGTTTAAAGTGTGGACAAGACTGTTTTTGATTTACAACGGAAAGTTTTTAAATGTTACAATGTAATAATTAAACCAAAGACTAAGAAGCTTCAGTGTTTTTATTAATGCTACATTACCATTTTTGAAAAGTGTGCGACTTCAAATTTGTATGTATTATTAACAAAGAGTCTTAGTAGCTTTATATCTAACATGTTGTCAATAACAAAATGGAGGACTTTCTTAGTGCAAATAACGAGTTTTAAATTATTTTTTTTAGAAACCTGCACAGCCAGATAATTCTACTTGTTGTTTAATTCATTAGTGATTTTTCTGTATCGAATAAATTTTTTTGCACCTGGTAAATCACACTGTGGTAATGGAAAATCTAACCCACACAGGTACTTGTTCCATTTGGGAATTGAACCCACAACCCCCTGATGTGGAAGCCTTAGCAACGGCACCAAAGCTTAGCAACAATGCCACCGAGTCTGCCTGTTTTATTTTAAAGTCTGCCTGTTTTATTTTATTAAGTTATTTAAGAGAATCAGACTGAATTTGACATCAATATTGTAAAATTATAGGAAAGGCGCCGTGTCCGTATTTGGGTAGAGAAAACATTCAGGGGGAGAAAACTTGAAAAGCTGACTGAAATTTATCGCACATCATACAAACCTGATTATAAATTAATACCTAAACATGAAGAGGAAAAGTTATTAGAGTTGGCTGAAACTAAACAACAATCCTCAGATATAGTACTACCCAGAACCATTGAAATGCCACCTCTTATGAAAAAATTCATTATCAAAGATCATGAGAAAAAAGGAATGGAGGTATGCAGTTTTAACTATTTCTTACTCACATTTTCACAAGATGCACTTACATTCACACTCCAAAAGTGAAAAGGTTTTTTAAGTGTCACATTTCTCTATTCTTTTGCTCATAATTGTCCATCGCAAAGGGTTCCATACCATTATCTATAAAAACGGCAATAAAAAATCATGTGTGATATTTTATTCTGTTTTTAGCATTTGTTGTTATAGATTCAATGGATATACATCATATGTGAAAATTTCATGCCTGGTGATAGACAGACAGATCCCGTTTTACCCTTTGGATACGGAACCCTTAAAATTAATTTGGACTGGAACCTTCTGGTTTTGGTACTTCCCATTTCCCACCCAAGCTAATAAAACCCTGTAGATGGTGGCGAAATTTACCTTCGAATTCTAATGATGTTGTAGCAGTTGCTCATTGCATGAAGAAACGGATAAAACCGCGTTTTCTAAAAATGAACCCTTGTTAGATCGAATTATCGCCCTCAAAATCCCTGCATACTTAATTTCATGAAAGTCATTGAAGTGGAGACTTAGATTATATATATATACACGAGGATTGCTCATTTAAAGGTTTTAGATGTCCATTCCTTACTCCTTCCTCTTCATCATCTCAATCCTCTTCACTTTAACAGACATCGTTCTTCACACAGTCCATCCAAATCTTTACAGTCATCCTCTAGCTTTACACACTCAAACCACATTCACTCATTCACAACTTGAGAAATATTTGTATTTGATAGCATTTAGATAATTGATTATTTACTGAAAAGCCTGTGTGTTGTTGTCAATTACATATTCTTTATTGAACAGATTAACAAAATGCTAAAAAAATAAAGGGTCACAAAGTCACAAGGTCAAATAATTATTCATTTAATGTTAATTTTTTATAGCCACCTATAGACATCTTCCACATCAATAGGCATTTGCAATACCAAATATTTTAGAATGTGATCTCCGGTTACCAATTACGAGGCACAGTACAAAAGTGTTGATACTACCCACACTGGGTTTTTGTTAGTGTGGTACTAGCCTGAACAAGCCTTTTCATTTATACAATAGCTGAATGCTACATGTAAAGAGTAACAATAAATACTGAATAATATAATAAGTGATTATTTATGATGTAATCTTCAATATCTTCATTTAATCCCTTTTCAGATACTAAAAGAATATGTAATGCCATTAAGTTATAACTTCAGCCCAAACAGAGTGCACAAAATTGCCGAAGGAGATGAAAAGCCAACAATTCAGTTTACTATGGGACTTGGAAAGCCTGCAAGTTCTTCACTGTATGAAGGAGTGCAACTTAATTAATTGTAGGTTTGAAATTATTTAGAATAGTTATAAATAATATTAAAATTTAACTTTTAGCATTGTGTTCACAAAATAAACTTGATTGTACAATGAAACAGATAGTTTTGTTACTGTTTTTCACCAATATTTGAACATGCAAATTTCTTAGACAGTAGTGGGTTCACTTCTATTTCGGGCATACTGCGTTCCGTTTCTATTTTCTGGAATGTTATAAAAACAATTTTACAGTTGCATTCAAAGAACTGACTAAGATTTTATGAATTGCTATTTAAAATATATACAACTAGCCGATGCCCATGGCTTCATCTACAATTGCTAGCCCCACTTCTCCATGGCATGAAAACATTGTGTCTATTAAAACTTTAATAACTTTAACTTAATTGAAAATATCATATCATATACAGCGTGTCGTTACCAACGCGACAATAAATGAACACACATATAGAGGATAAATTTTTAAAATTGTATCAAAAATTTACATTCTTTAAACATCAATATTTACAGAGTTATTAAATTTTCCAAAACAAAAAATTTTAAAACCCCCTTACCTATAAAAGCGTAACGTAAAGTTCATTTGTAAAGGTCACAAAGCATATGAATGGGTTGAATGAATTTAAAAGAGACAAAACATACTGTTAGAAGGAGAGGCTTATAATACGACGCTGTGGCGCGAGTTGTATAGGTGTTACAATTTTTTTTTCTTTTTTACTTAATTAGTTTGTTTGAAAAATATTTTTTTTTAATTATAGATTTTGTTTAACGTTAATATTTTTTTATGATTATTGGCAATTAGCGTTAGATGTGTGTTCATTTATTGTCGCGATGGTAACGACACGCTGTATATATTTTTTAGATAAGGGTCTAAGAAATAAAACTTTATAAAATTTGCCCCCATATGTATAATAGTATTTCCGTGATGCCCCCAAAACGGCAGACCTCTATCAGTTTATTTATACATACAGATGTATGTATAAATGATGTTGGTTGAGAGCCAGATTTTAAAATATCTAGTTGTTCTCAGAAAAATATAACCATTATAAGTAGAAATAATTAACTAAAACCTTTCATCGATATTTTTAGTTTATTTAACAGGTGAACCTATCATAGTATATTTTACTTCCCCGGACGGACCTGCCCATTCGTGTAACAGCGAAGACTGTTGCGTGTTCCTACAGGAACAAATGTGGGACAGGGTGGGTTATGAACTTAAAGGATTCGAAAAATGAAAAATTTCACAACTTCTAAGTTTGAAGGGAGTTATTTCCTCTACCGACTGTAAATTTTGGGGCTACTGTTAAAGATTGTTTTTAACAATAAAGTAAAAAGTAAAGTAACAGCCTATACATGTCCCACTGCTGGGCAAAGGCCTCCTCTATATAGGGGGTATCAGGGCATAGTCCACCACGCGGCCCCACTGCGGATTGGCGGACTTCACATATCTTCGAAATATATATATTTTTTTGTTATTATTTCGAAAATATGCAGGTTTCCTTCACGATGTTTTCCTTCACCGCGGAGCACGTGATAAGACAGCATTTAAAGTTAAAAACTTCATTGGTGCCGGCACCGGGGATCGAACTCAGGTTGCTCGAGTATATTGAATTAAAGGCGAGCGCCCGGACACTGAGCTATCACGGCTCTTTTTTAACAATATTAATCTCTAATTATGTTTATAAGAAATACATGAGTACAAAATTAAATTATATTAAAAGCGTACCCGCCAAAAGTTTCGCATTTCTTGAACTTCGTCTTCCCTCTGCACAAAGTATTGGCGAAGGGTTTTTTGAATTACGGTAGCCGCATATTCTTCTGTCCACAGCCAAGACTTGGGATAGTAGATACGTGGGCTGCAATTGGCAATGTGTTTGAGTTTTCATTTAGCTAAAATAGTTTTGTATCAATTCTAAATATTGACAGAGAATAAGGTAAAATAATTACTGTACTAAAACAAGCAATAAGTAGGCAGTGTGTTTTCTTTTAACCATGAATTTTTTTTAATGATCATCCTGACTTGGTTTGTATCGAAAGAAATTTTCATACATTAAGTTTAAGTAAAACCAAGCTTATGTTGTTTTTGCTGTTAACTTCATGTCAATTTCCACTGCTGCGGCGTCGAAAGCTATATATTATATTCGCAATACATTTTTTTTTATTTGGATTTGCGTTTTTGATATGATTCTTCAATTAATTGTAACATAATAATTGGGAATAGGGATTTTGAACCCTGATAGCTGTCTGGGCGCTCGCTTTTAATTCAATATACTCGAGATACGTAAGTTACCATTTTAAGTGTTGACTTATCACGTGCTTGGTTATTAATAAAACATCGTGAGGAAACAAGCATATTTGCGAAATAATAGCAATGTAAATTATTTCTATTTACACAATTATTCTTTTTATACAGAGTATGCCTTGAGGATGTTAAGTGATTACTGCCGTCTGTGGTTCTTACGACCGTCCGGCCTACTGCTTCAACGCCGTTCAGCGACATAGTTTAGGTGCACCATCGATTGCACGCTAAGCCTAGTCACCCAAGTGACATGTGTAGTTTATTTATTTAATTTAAGTACGAGAACATCAGATATATTAAACATTTACATAGCTTATTAGGGAACAGATTAATGATACATTTTAGTGATATATACGAAAACTACATTGTACATAGCATTGACCATACATACATGTACAAGTGCGAGTTAAATGATATACTTAGAAATGGCATAATTTGTAAAATTAGTTATTATTATGGAGTTTTAGTGCAGCTGTAGTTTAGTTCGCCAAACTAGAGCCGCCCTCGCGGAATCACTACCTGTGCTGGCTTCCCATCTGCCAACTCTAACTAAACTTGCGGTGTACAAGACCTATGTTCGCTCTCGGATAAATTACGCGGAACCAGCGTGGTACGTCATACTTTCCAAACGATAGAGGCAACGTTTACAGGCTTAAAACATCGTATCTGCGAACCTATTACTGTTGTAAATATTAAGATACACATTTAAATTGGGCAAATTTAAGAATTTTTTGGCGTCCCCAACGTTTGTGTACTTATTACCTACTTTATGTAATGTTTGCTATGGTTGTATATAAAACGTATTTAACTTACTACACTTTCAGGAGTTTTCTGACCCAAGGCATATTAAATATATGCAAGTGCTGTTCTATACGCTCTGGGTGTCTTGGGTTGTTGTTCCATAATACCTAATGGAAAAAATTGAGATACAAGTTAACATACCATTACCTTACTCTCAGTGCCGGATTTTGGGAGGCCAACCGGGGCTACAGGGCCTCCACAAAAGGGACTTCGGAAAAAAATATCTAATTCAGACTAGTAAACACTAATAAACAAATTTTAAATTTTAGATAATTCTTGTTTCCGATTATATGTCCGTTAAACAATAAAAGAATCTATACTTGGTTACACAATAAATTATTTATTGAAAAACTACTGAAAAACTACTAAAAAAATTGTTCATTTGTTGCCCCGCGTTCTTCAGACCTCTAAATCTGGCCATGCTTACTATTTTGGCTGAAGACAGGAATTTTATTTTTTTCGTATTCAGACAATGTACCTAATTCTTATACTCGCCTGAGCTATGTGGTCGATCCCGTTGAAAAAACACTTTTGAGTTTTTAAAGCTCCCCAAATACAAGCTTTACGAAGTGTTTCTTCTAAAGCTGGTTCCAAATGAACAAATACTTCTTTTTCCAAATAATTGCTCTCAGTGTCTGTAATGACGGCATATTTATTACGTTTACGGTGTTGGAATAATTTTAAAATAAAAAAAATCGTATTTGTTAATTTAACTATTCTAAAAGCGATATATGGTGTTCTTTATGCTATTCTTAGATATAGGTGGGCTATTAGCCCACGGACGTCTGTAAAGGTCGCCATCAACTGCTGCTTCGTATACCAATTAAAATTTTTTATGTAGGTAGGTATTCTTCTTCTTCCTCGTTCCCTCAATGCTGAGGATCGTGACCACGAACAATATATCGCCAACCAGTCTACAGACTCATGGACAGCCCGATACATGCTACCGCCCACTGCCCCCTTTACAGCATCAGACCATCTTGTAGGCGCCCTGCCACGAGCACGTTTGCTATCTATTTGACCCAAGATAATGAGCCTCTCCAGATCATGTCGCGAAGAACGCATAATGTGACCGAAGAAGCTGAGGGCACGTTGTTGACATATGCGTGAGAGTCGTTTATTGATGTTCAGGTAGTAGGTAGGTATAGTAGAAATAAATTGAATGCTATCCAAATAAAAAAGCTCCAACATTTTTGGTTGTTTTTTTGATTTTTTGCAGCCCCGTGGACCAAATCCTTCATGGATCGAATATTGTCCGGGACACTCGGCTAGCTTAATGATTTTCCAAATTTATTTTATAACTAAAGACCTTAAACCTTTATTATCGAGTTATTGAGTAAAATAGGGTTATTGTAGCGTTTGTACTTAGGAAGGGTGATTTGGGTTTCTGTTCTTTCTTATTATCTTCATACTCTTCAAGTTCTCGAAGTTTCATATCACTATCTTCTATTATGTCATTCCATTTAGCAGTTAGTTTTCTTTTTGGAAATATAGGAAACTGTACTTCTGAACAATGTAAACTGTCTGGAAGAGTAAATGTGGCTAAATTAGTTTCGAGCTCATTCCCAGTATTTTTTATTTCTTTAGCTTTGCCTCTACGTTCAGTATTTCTTCCAGTCATAATTATTTATTCTATGTGATATTGAATATCGTGCGCGCACTTAATTACTTCTAAATATTTCAAGTTTGATTAAATAAGTAACACGTAGGAGGCTAAATACTTTTTTGATTAAGATTGAACATTTGAACTTTACTTTTCTTTATAGTGAAATCATTTTAAGCCAGATTACAAATTGAATGACGATGTGAATTCATGACTGATTTATTAATTTTAGTTTTATATTTACAAATTAATGAAGATACAACATTCCACTTTTCTACAGCGACTTTTATGACCTTTGATGGTGTTATGAATTGCTTAGATGCTATTTTTGACAGCATTGCATATCATATAGAAGCTTTCTAAGACGACATTATTAAATCCATTTATGACATTAGAGAGTCGATGGCTCGATAGTAGGTTGCAGCAATTTTCCAAGATGAATTCCAAGCTGTAACCGTTCTCATTTGCATTTAATGTGTTTTTCACAAACAAAGAGTACCGACTGGCACAGGGATAACATTTTTGTTTACGTCTTTGTGACGCTTAAGCTTATATAAAAAAATAAGTTCACATATTTTTTGTTATATAGTTTTGACAAGATTTTAGCTTTGTGTGGGTTGACAACCTGAACCACCGGAGCCAATCGCTTTTGCGCAAACCGCAAATTGTTGCTATCCGGGCAATCCGGCTACCGGACGATCTCCGGTGAGGCGGGTTGATTGTTGGCCGCCTTCTTTCTTTACCTTAGGATTGAGAAGCAAAGAGCTCAGGGTCATACGGCGTATGAGAGGAGTGGAGGACCCCGGAGGAGATCATTAGCCCTTGTCATAACTTATATTTTGTGTTACTTCCTGTTGACTGGCAACACTCTCTTGCCATCTCTGGGTTCAAGGTGTAAAACTTGTTCCCGAATAAAAGTGATTATTAATAAATTGTTTCATCTTTTATTGCAAAGTACAACAGCTTTATTAGCAAAGATTCTGGGCGCCTTACCCAAGAGACACAAGTTCGATCCCCTCAGCAATCAAATTTATGTAAAAATTCACATTTCATGTTTTTAATTTTATATTCCGTGTTAATTTTAAAACGACTCAGTATGTTCCGTGCTTTCATGATCACGGTACAGACTGAGTCGTTTAACGTCTGAATGTGCTGTAAGCCCGGGCTAACGCCAGTTCTTAAGTTATTAATTTTCCGCGCGATCTACGCAAAAGGTACTAATAGCTTTGATAATGAAAATGATTTTTTCATGATCTGTGATCGTACATCGCATAGGCGTTATTGAATGTTGACATTTGAGTGTGTGGCGATTCATTCGCTATAATATAGCATCGCTTTTGTCTTATGTACCCTAACTCTCATGTAGTCTAGCATTACCCTAGTATTGACAAATTACTATAGCAACGAGTGACAATAAAAGATTATGGTTTTCTCAACACGGCTTGTTCTTTGTACTACATTTTAATTATAACCTCCTGCCTGCTACCGAAAGTGCATTTCAGTTTGATCGACATCAATATCAATATCATGTCAATGTAACTGCTTATTTATAATTTCTGGTTAATTTAAATTAAGAATAAGAAATTGTGCTCTAAAGTGATGACGACAAAAATATAACAATAATGTATAACAATAACGATAATATCTGTATGTATTTCAAAAAGTGTATCTTTTTGTCTAAAGCGCGATTGCCCATTGTGAACAGAAAATGTAGACCATTGAGGTGCTTTTCTCTTATAAATGACTTTTCTATAGAATTATAAGTTACATACAAAAAGAAATGAATAATATCATAGTAACACGTGTGTTATCTAGTGTAGGGGAATATCATATACGGGCCCATTCAATGATATTATATACAAATCGAGGTAAATATGACACTAGCACACCGAAACTGAGGCGCCCAAATTACACCGATTGGTGTAATTAGATTGCAATTCTATAGACTGCCATCTCCTTCCGTATCATACGTTCTATATCATCTGTCAATTCAATTACATATGTCGTGTCATGTAAAGCGAAACAATTTTTAAACGACGTGCTGTATGGACATGCGTCATGTTTATTAAAACATCATATTGAGGCCATCAAGGTTTGGTATAGACCGTTCTTCCATGGCCTTCGATTGTATTAATGGTTGGTTTTGTACCTTGTGTATACGTTTGATAGTTTCGCAGTACTTGGAAGCGAGGACAGATTACTTGTTTATGTGTGGGTTGTCTAGCTAGACCACCACCAGATAACTTATGTTCCCTTCCTCGATTGGGTCGATGAGGACAGGTCGCATTTATGGCGGGTTGGTAATTCGCTGCGTTGACCACCAGAGCGTTGTAGTGTTACGATCTTTTAACGAAATTTTCGGTTAACTTTTTAAATTGTCCGCGTGGCGTCGGGAGTCTGCAAGTGGTACGAAGGTCGCGCATGGTTGCGACTCAGATGAAGCTCTTTTAAAATTACCTGGGCTACTAGAATATTTTTGTCAAGCCCATTTGGAGAGCTTTATATATATTACTTGAGTTATTATTTCTTATGCATATATCATAATAAAAAAAGTTTGAGATTTTTAAAATTGGTCATTTGCGTAAAGCTATACCAATACAGCCGCAGACTATATCTTATAGTTATATTTTATTAGCCTTTTTTTTATTAGAAAAAGGGTTTGGTTGGGCTAGTATTTTTTAAGATTTTATGATTTTTCTGTTTTAAATATTCTGTCATTGTCAGTAAAAAATTATTTGACATTAACAAAATAGTTACTTAAATAATCATTTTAAAGATTATTTTTACCGTTACTGACGAAAAATAGACAATTACTACGTAAACTTTTTTATAAAAGAAATACTACTAAATTTTAAAAAGGAATGTATGATAGTCCCATCTATTGAAAATTAGTTTTAAAAAAAGATAGCGGTGTAGACTGAAAAACATTACATAACAATATAATTGGCAGTTGCGATTTAGTATTTTTTTAAAAATCTTATATATTTTACTACGATTTCTGTAAGTGTCCATGTATCTTAAAGTTATAATATATAGTAAGTATTTGGATTCAGGAAGGAAGAGTAAACTACAATTAGATTAGAAATAAGATAAAAAAATGCTTTTTTATTTGAAATTTATATTAGAGCAAAATATTTTACAAAAATCTGCATATGCAATTACTCGGTTTCTCTGAGCATTACCGCCCAAAGTTAAATAATAAATTATAAATATTTATTAAATAAACATAATTACTTATAATCGAGTATGGAAAGTGTTCCTTAAAAATTAGAATATTTTCCAGTAATTTGCGAGATCCAGTCGAGATAGTGGGCGACTTTTACGTAAACACCGGGCACCCCGGCTTGTCCACAACCAATACCCCATGAGACAACCCCTACTAATTGCCAAGTTCCACTGCGTTCGCACACTAAGGGGCCACCTCCATCACCCTTACACGCATCTTTCCCTTCTTCGCCGCCAGCACATATAAAACCTGGATTCAATTCATAGTTGTAGCCCAAACGTGTCTGTTTTAATTGTTGTTGGCATTGACCGTGCGCAAGGATTGGTACATCTACTTCCTTTAAGATGTTCTGGTATTTTCCGTAGTCACCAAAAGCGTCTTTACCCCAACCGGTCGTCCAGCACCTCTGTCCTGCGTATTCAGTATATTTGTCCGGTAGGCAAGCGGGGCTGATGTGGGGATATTTAGTCCAGTCAACAGGGTGTTCCAGCTTAAGAATTGCCAGGTCATTGTCTAAAGTACCTGCGTAGTATAATGGGTGCACGTGTACTGAAACCACGTCTCGCTCTATGTAGGGATAGAATTCAACATCGTGGTTCACGTCCCATTCACCCAATCTTACTCGTAGTTCGAATCCTTTGTAACTGTAAGTTGAAATTTAACAATAAAAGATCCGTGACATTACACACATTAAGAATTGTCTAAAGGAATATGAACAACTCCTTTAGACACATGCTTTTAAAATATCTCCATTAAATACTTACGATTTAACACAATGAGCGGCAGTCATGATATGCAGCCCATCGATAAGAGTGCCTCCGCAAACGTACACAGATTCTTTTGGATCTTTCTTTAATATAGCCGCTTGCCAAGGGTATTCTCCAAATTCACTGTCACCATCCACGTAGGAAGGTGTCTTTATCCTTCCATTTATGCCTTGAGAGTGTCTAATACCGCATTGTCCACGGTTAGATGCTTGAGGCCTCAAAGGTCGACGACAGCATACTTGATTTTGTTGGCATCGTTGAGCAGTAGGACGGCCGAAGTATCCCTGGCGCTGTGAAATAAAATCAATTACTGTTAATTGCAAATTTATTTCGGTAAAACTTAGCCTACTTCCTTTTAAAAAATAACACAATAGTTCTCCAATACATACACAAAGATTTGTTATTCATTACGAAATTATTACCTCAGTAATACTTTTCTCTATAGATATCTCTCTCTTCCTTCTGTTGTCAGGAAATCGTATAGGCGGGCTTCCCCGGCTTGCCCCAGGGGAACGAGAAAGGACATTAAGGGAACGGGAGTAAGCAAAACGGTTGGCATAGCTATTTTGGCCTTTAGTGTTTGTAGCGTTAGCTGACCTCTCAAAACCCGGATTATAATAACCATTTTGTTCATAATTGTAATCAACCTGGTCGTTGTAATGGTTAACATTATCATCGTCGTAATAGTCCTCGTTACCAATTTGAGTTTCTTGAGAATTGTACGGTTTGTATTTAGAGTAACCGTCATAATGAGTATAATGTGGAGAATATGCTGGAGGAGCGTAATTATGATGTATCGGAATATCATGTTGGGGGTAAAAGTGCGGTGTATTGTAATGATGATTGTAAGGATTATGATGATGATAATGTTCGTGTTTGTTTAATAGGTACAGTTTCTTTTCATGGAACAAATTTCCAATTTTATTGATTACGTGCTCATTCGGTGTGACGTGTAAATTGACGAAGGGTTTAATAATTTTTTCTCCATAATCGTTCTTAGTTAACTGTACAGCTAGCAAAGGATTTACTGAGAGTAGACCTAAATTTAAGCCCCCACTGTTCAAAGCAGGACCATAAGGATTTTGTATGGGATTAGCATTATAGGGATTTATGGGATATCCACTATGGGAAGGCTGGGGCAACCCAAAAGAGACACCAAACGTGGGCTGCACTTGTTTGTTGCTATTACCGCCATTGCCGCCGTAGCCGGCTAATCCAAAGACGCGCTGCAGTAATATTGTATTCAAATTAAATCATGCTTAAATCTTGCATTGTAAGCCGTTTGTGAGTGCCCATTGTTTAGTTTTTCTTTTGTAAGCCATTGCAAACTGATATGCTATCTATGAAGCTCGTTCTATATCTGAATGCAAGGCAGTGAGTTGTTACCCCAGTCTATTATTGTATAAGTAATGTGTATAAGTAGTGAATATGAAAGAAAATTGAGATTAACGTTTTATGGTACGAATCTTGTAAACATTATGTTCTATTTGTGTTAGTTTAGAGATCTATTATTTTGAATTAAAGTATTCTAATGATTCGTATTAAACTTACCGGTTCAGCTTCTTTAGTAGCTTCATCTTGTTTCTCTGGTTCAACCTCACGTTTGCTAATGGTTTTGGCTTCTGTAGTATTTTGTTTGGTTTCATCTACTGAGTCTGAAGAAACTGTTTTGTTTAAATTGTCAAGTTGTTCCTCTGTTAATGCCAAAATTTCAGTACCCTTGTTACGAGGATCAATTGGCAAGTACAAATCATCTCTGCGGCCAATTATTTCCTGACTTGGACACTGATCGTAGTTCACACATACACAATCGAATCCCTGGGCTTTTCCTTCATGATAACTTTGTTGATATGCGTTATTTTGGCCAAATGTTGCAGGACCTTGATTGTACAAATTGTTTGAAGAGCCGACATGAAGTTCTTTCTTATAAAATTCCATATTTTGCGACGCGTAACTTCCAAGTGCGTTACCGAACCTTTGATCATCAAAAGCATTATTTTGGTAAGGATTTGGTAAAGATTGTGATATTAGATTCCCACTACCTTTGTTCACATTCGTGTGCGCAAATTGAGAGCCGTAAATAGTATCTGCTTCGTAAACGGGTTTATTGTTTAACGGGTATCCAGAAGTCATGGGCTTAAAGCCTCCCGAAGTGAGGGAGCTGTAATCACCACCTGAAGCTGTTATAATATCTGACGATTCGTGAGCAAGGTTTTGCGATGCTAGATGCCCCACGGAACCTACAGGTATTGCTACGGGTTTGATGATAACTTTGGGATCCTTTTCGGCGTCACTATGTACGTAATGATGATGGACGTGTTGTTGTACAACTGAATCCGCTTTGACCCCCGTTTGAAGATTAGGTGTACCTTTATTGTAGATTGGTTTCGAGTGTTCATAAGAGTAAGGGCCGTCATTCGAAAAAGGTGGTGGCTTAGTCACAAAATTACTCTCATGTCCGTTATAAACGCCACTGCTTTGTGAAAATTGGTAATTACTTCCAGAAAGGCCATATTTATCCGAAAATCCTGGTCGAGGGTTGCCTCCATATCCTACTCTTTTTGGTGGGATTTTCTGTGGGCGATGTGGATATGGCATTGGTTTAGGTGGTCCATATGCTCTTGGTGGTCCACGGATTGGAATTGAAGCAACTGGCCTGCCGATAGGCTTAATGTCAACTGGTTGAGCATAAATCAATTCATCAGGAGAAACATAGGTGCGTTTTTCTTGAGTCTCCCCTTCTTCACACTAAAAAGTTATAAAAATAAATTAAAAAAGCTCACTTCTTAATAAAAATCAAAAACATAATATTAGTAAATAAGCTTTTATGTGCAAAAACTAATTTTTGTACGCTAGTACGGCGACAGGCTTGTTTGTCACGTGGTTAGGACTGAATAACATCGGTGAGATGTGAATAGCATTGACATCTCTGTCCATCCCGTTGGTCTTAAAATATGATTTTGTTAATACTTGTAGAAAAATATGATTTTGTGTTATTAATTTAGTTCATAAAAACTTACTTGTATAAGCCCTAATGTACACAGGCGATCCTTTATAAGATTTCTCGCTTCCGTGTCATCTCCTGCGTCCAAAGCTTCTTTGATTGTTGGATCGCCATATACTTCGTCAAAACCGCCTAAGCTTCTCCCCTGTTTTCCATTAATAAGCTCGTCAACGATACCGTCTAGTACTGTTTCATTACTTTCGAGATTTTTCTCTTGAGCCACAGTTAATTGTTCTCCTTCTAATAATTCAGATGTTTTCTCTTTACGTTCGTTTCGTTCATTGTTGTTTTTGTCGTCTCCCCACGACCATTCAGCTGACGCGACCGCTATTGTTACCGATAGCAGTAAACAACTTAGTAAAGACCACCGCATGATCTGAAAATTTAATGTCGCGTATAAAGTGACACGTTATTTAATCTTTTAAAGCGATGACTGTAAAAGATGATGCTGTTTCGAAACTTTTAGACCGAGAACACTTTTACTTTCTCGGACGGTTGGAATTATGTAAGCGCCAACAGTGCCAGCGTACCGTAATGCCTGTGCAGACACCACACAAGCGTGGGCTCGCGAAAGCACTCTCTCCTCTTATGTTCTATATCATACGCATAATGTACGTACACGTATAACAAATTCAATGACAACAAAATTGTCAAATGAATCCATTTTATCTACATTTGGATTTAATAATGATCACAATTCAAAATATCGAAGCAATTCAACTGATAATTATTTAGGTGTGTGATGGCATGATAGGCATGCTTGTAAGACACTATAACAACTAATGGCTCTGTTTATTGTTTGTGTTATGAAAGAAAGCAAATCGGTGTCAGTGTCGTTCCGAAACCGGCACGAGAAGCTATTTGGTAACCAACGCGCGTCTCTGGTTATGCGTCATTTCTTCACGTAACAAAATCGTTACGGCATTATGTAATTTATCGATGTCACATCACTCACAATCACACACAATCGATTTTCTCTACTAACTGGCATTTGAATTGGAAGTTCGCGTGGTTGTGTGAATTTACACTCGTTTTAAGCTTTAACCAATGTTATGTGTTTATCCCACCTAAAGGCGAAAGTTTAAATGCATCTGGCATTGTAATAGTCCTGATACGCGTTCTAACTTAGAGAGCTTGTCTCATGGTCCGTTGGACAGTGAAAGTATTGTGAAAACCTGTCGTACACTATTACGTAGGAAAACACCGTGATCTTCTTTATAAATTACGTGAATTAACGAGGCTAGTAATAACAATAGAGAAATTTTCTGCTAAGAACAGGCATGGATTCAGAGGGATGTTGATAATCCCCTTCAAAAATTAATTTAGTTATTTTGAAAGGTCTTGGGCCCTCGATAGATCTTAGGTTTCCATACACGACTGTTCACAATATGATAAAAGATAAAGATTTTAATATTCAATTATCGTTTACTTTTTATTACATGTCCTAATTTAATTTTACAAAAATTTAAATCTCATCAATTTCTCCTAAGTAAAGTTAATTCAAGATCCGCGCCTGACTACGAAGCGGAGTCGAACCTTGAATACCCCGTACAGAGTTAGACCATAACCCATTAGGCTATAACGAACAGTCATAACAAACTATTCCAACACTAGAAAATACTAAACCAGAATTAACTACCAATTTTTTATTTTGTTAAATTTTTATGTTACAACATAAAAACTTCAAATTTGTCCTGTGTGATTTGTTTCGATACGTCAACATATGTCTTTATTTTCACAGAGAAAGCGGAAACTAGGAATAGGATTAATATAATATTTCTTTCAGTAAAATTAAATATCAGTTCTATATGACAGATTAAGTAACATGTAAATTTAACCGTCTCATAATATTTAAGAAATTGATTAACTTTTAACTTAGCAGATAATCGTGTCAACGACTATTTGCCCTTTTTAAATAACAAACACTGTAAAAAACTTACTTTTTCTCACACTCCTTGTATTTGTCACTTATAAATAACAACTTTTTTTAAGTCGTTTTCACCACTTCACAGACGCCGTGTTTGCGTCCGAATGACTGCAAACTCCACGGCAACAACGCTTTATACTTCAACCAACGCAAAGATGCACGCGGCCCGATTTTGTAAGATGATCGACTCACACTCCTACCAATGAACGCGGGTGATGGGAATATCGCTGAATTACCGCTTCAGTTTGCACCTCGAATGGTTGAGAGTCGCAAAGCTATGAGCGTTTATGGTACAGGGTGTGACGTCCGCAAAGCAACATTGATCAACCCTTCGGATCATTCATGACTGGGTTCTGCGTATGAGTTATGTAACTGGGGTGTCATTGAGGTCATAATAGCGGATTTGATGTACGAATTATATTCTTAACCTATTCACTTTATTTGAACTGACATTTTTCTAAGAACTATGAAAAAAAAGTATTTAGTGTGGGTAAGAATAATATTGTCTTTTTGCATTTGTATTCCTTAGTCAAATTTAAAAGTTAAATTAACACTTATGTTTTTTTTGTTATTTTTTTATATATCTGTTATAAATATTGCGTTAGTTTTGTGATGATAATCTGAAAGTCATCTGATTCTAGTCATTTTACTGACGCCCAATTATCTAGAATGATTCCACTCTATACCGTAAACCCTCTCAAAGTTATAGTGCATATTATATTGATGGTAAAGTATTAACTTTGCCCCTTTTGTTAAGTCACATCTATGCTATGTGAGTCTGTCTTAAGTTTTTGATGTCATTGAATGTAGTTGAATACATATCTAAACATATTATGGTTACTTAATACTCTATGTTTATAAATCCTTACCAGTATGGAGATGTCCTCCTTAATTGGTTTTGCTCCACTTTCTCTCTTACTTATAATAAGCCTTTAAGGTAGTCTGTGCTCCTAACAGGTGTGTTGGTAAATTTCAATACAAATTTAGTTTGCGATCTTATGAACTCATTGACTGCTGGACATATACGTGCTCGAATACGACTTAACAAATTAGCTTGATATAAAAGATTTCAACGAATTCTGCTATCTCATTTATTTACGTTTTACGAATTAAATGAGATAGCAGAATTATATATAATATATTTATAGAATATTCACATTTGTTACGTTTAATTATCGATGGAAAAGTATATTACATATTAGAAGTAATATCTAAGAGTAAGGAAAAGTATATCATTAGAAGCATTATCTAAGAGTGAGTAATAAATATTTGAGCTTTAGAATTGCTCTTTTGAAATTCAGGTAGATGCAGGTGTTCTCGATGAGAACCCCTACGTCATCGACCAGAAACAATAAAAGAGTACCAGTACATAAGCCAGGAAAATGGGTATGTACTGAACGAGATTATAGTTATTGTTAGTATGTATAGTAATTAAATAACTTTTTCTACGTTACATTTACAATTTCAATTTACACGTACTTAATTAACGTAGTTTCAAACAAATAATGTAAAAAACGGTGATCAGCAATTGCATTAATTACTAAGGCCATACATAAATAAGACATTTGATATCATCTATTTGCGCCCCCGACATCTCTTTTCTTCCGTCACAAAATTAAAATAAGTGAACATTTATTACTTTACTTATTTATTACTTGTACGGGACATTAAATTTGACTTGATTAAAGTTTTAAGGTCTTTATAAGGTCAGCTGTCGGCCGAGGAGACCGCACTGTGCGTCAGCTACATCCTTCCCGTATATTTTTGGAGCGTCAGTAATAGGCTACCGGGATGAATTATTTCGGCGTTGCACGTTGACTGAGCGGTGGCTTGCATAAGACGGGCTTTCCAGCGCGAACCGGACTTGAGCGGGCGCAACGCACTGCGATGTTGCTCCTTGCGCAACGGTTCGCTGAACCAGATCTACGACTCTAAACACGGACCAATGCATGCTATTGTTATTGTTAGAATAATTTACGCAATAAACAGCGGAAGGAATCGAGACGATCAGCACGGAGAAAAAAAGCATGTTTGAATTTATGAATGACATGTTAACGAAGAATGAACGCGAATGTAAATATGAAAATGAGCGTAAATAAATAACAGTACCATTATGAGTTGCGGCGATGTATTTAAGTGCCAATGTTTGAGTTATACAATGATCTATTTATTTTTACTGAATATTTGAATAAATAAAGTTACGGAATGTGCCACCAGTTTATTGTTATCGATGCGATTTATACGGTAAATTTTAAACAGTTCGTCTAAAGATTCACTTCTTTGAACTAAAACGAGCTATCCAAAACATAATATAAGTAATATAAACGGTACTTCCACAATATATACGGTACGATTGTAGAATTTTGTCTAATAAAGAAAGAATTAGTATGAGAATGACATAGACATAGACATAGACATGAACTTTATTTTGAAAACCAACAAACAGCACAAAAAAATCAAAAAATAAATGACATGAACATAACATATTGATAAATAAAAACATAACATCGTTTCAACAAAAATGAGTGTAGGCATTTCGTTCCAGAGTGCATCGTATTGTGTAGCAAGTCATTATGAAGCCTTCCGTTGCAACAGAAAGTGCATCGAACTTGTGCGAGCGGGAATCTTGTTGTTTGCAGCCTAAGAGATGGCGGTTGTAGAGGGCGTCTTCTTTTGTCGATTATTCACGGTCGAGTGGAGCGCTGATTTAAAGATGTTACGTAACGCGGATTCATATTACGTACATCCTATACTTAGCTGTGTTAGTTCCTGTTCGATTTTTGCGATATCTACATATATCGATTCGCAAACAGATTTGGTTTATATTAGCCTCATGTATGACCAATGTCATATGATATTCATATTTTTATATATTATATCAATTATTTAAAACAAAAAGACCTTCAAATAATAATTAAGCGCTATTATAGTTCATCAGAAAAAATATTACTTTCATTTGCAATGCAATTCAGAAGCACAAAAATTGCGGAATTAATTTTCATCACAAATTCAAATTTTCTTTTAGGTAAATAGAAATTAACATGACCATAAAGTCACATGTTGATAGTACGTTTATAAAACATTAGTAGTGGTTCTTGTAAATATTGTGTTGTAAGTTTTGGACGCGGATTTTCCGAACTGCTTCTATTGCAATGCGCTGCGGAGGTCACGCAAGTTAATTGAAGAAAGCGAAATCTGTGGAGTGGTATTTTTTTAAAAGTTCTTATAAAAGTTGTGGCACTATAAAGTCTTAATTAACTTATTATATTTAAGAAAAAAAATTACATATTTAAATAATGTGTATTTAAGTGAAAATTTTAAACAATGATATTTTTAATATAAATAATGTTATGTTAAACTATTAATTCAGGTTGTTTTAACTAAAACTGATACATAACACATTGCAATGTATTGTCTTAGCGCATACAGACTCTCGAGAAGGTGCA